AAAAAAACTGTTGTATATCCTGCAGGACTGGATCTTCAGTAGGCTGGCAAACACAATCATTGAACATCAGTCATTCCACTGAGCAAGCATCATTAAAGATACATCAACCCCAAAATGTTGTTATACTGTGTAAATAAAGAGACACATTTGTGGTAGCTTTTTAAAAAAATATATTATTGCTAAACATAAACAAAATCAAATCTGGAGTAAATATATTACAGTTTTTTCTCAGTTGCTTTTGATACATTTCTAAATGTATCTTTACCTTTGCAAAACACGTAAGTTGCAATCCTCAAAAACGCTTCGTACCAAACAGCACCACGCAATGGTATCACCTGCAAAGCCGTAACTTGCTTCAAAACCCGTGGGTCCAAAATGAACATGTCAGCGCCATCAGAATGATCAGTCCCTGTGTCATTGTTTACAAACTAGATATTCCAAAATGCTTCAGCCATTGAGATGCAACATATTGCTGATGTGTGAGATTGTTACAAGAATTTGGACAGGATTTCACATTTTACAACTTTACTGTTTGTACTGTAAACCATGTCAGGCCATGTCTGCCACACACACACACACACACATTGTTCTACCCAATATTCGGCTGCACCCTTCGAACCAGACTTGGCCATTGTAAGGCATTAATTGCAGAACACGGTCTCAGGTTGTGGCCCTATTTCATCGGGAGTGACCTATATCCTCGACCTCTTCTACTCTTCTCTGTCTTGCCTCCCTACCCTTCCACCACGCAGCCTTACACCTTCCTTCTTCTTCGTTCCGGCTCTCGACCCTGTCATTTCCAGGTCGTTCATCTATTGTCAGGAATGTGTAACGCCTGCGCCTGTGCTCTGTCTTGTGTATATGTGCCAATTGTGGATTCGTGTGATGCAACTCTGAGCTATTTTAGGAGTAAAAGTCAAGATTCACCTGAGAGCAATTCATCGATTCAGGTCACATTTACAAAAGAAGTCTAATTAAAATGCTTATGAAAATGTTTTGAAATATTGTGACAAAACTGGTTCAAAATTTTTGCATGTAACAACTTATGCAATTAACTTATGCCTAGATATTTTTGAGGGTAAACAATTCAACAGAGAAACGAGCATGATACATTTTTGACCAAACATAACATAAGCAATTGATATTGTAGGAAAGACCGACAATTGTAGTCTGTAGTTGTGAGATTTCAGTTCTGATCTGAAGGAAATTGTGCCGAAGCGGACTGAGGAAAAAACTTGTAAAAAAAGGGAAAAACCAAAAACACAAATAAGCTCTTAAACTCTGCTCCCCTTTAAAAAAGAATGGAAAACGCAGGTGCACAGTCTGTCTGCTTACAAAACATTGTCGCATATAACTGGCCACATCGATACAGTTCTAAAATAATGGTCAGACTGGGTCCACTGTTTTACTCTCCATTCAAAGAAAATAGTCAAAAGCAACAGTTGGAATCAGTCCACTCCTCAATTTATTAGACTCACTGTTATTGCACTGACTGTGTAATCATACACAACAGTGGGCCAGAGATACCTGTTCGATTATGGTTATATAAATCATAGCTGCTGTTCTGTTCACATATCAAATATATTCATATTCATATCAAGTTTACGGAGACAACTTTTGTTGTGAATACCTACTGCATGATTGATGTGAACAGAAGTGCTTTGATCAGGATGAACACATTTGTTCGTGACAGCAGCCTGAAGTTTGTCGTCACAGTAAAGACCAGAGCAGTTGTCACCCATCATGTTGCATTTGAAATGTGATTCTAGTTTGTTGCTGTTTGTAACTGTTGTATGAAATATCTGTACTCAGAAGCAGAAGAAACACGGGGGAGACACACGGAAAAGAGAGGAAAAAAACTAATTCACAGCCATGGCCAGGACATTGTGTGTGTGTGCGTGTGTGTGTGTGTGTGTGTGTGTGTGTGTGTGTGTGTTTTAAGTTTTAGAGGTCATAAAAACTTATTTACATACACACAAACTCATCTGCACAATCAGATCCACTTATGTTAGCATTTGAACCAAAATCAATGGGTGGAGTTGGGGTTTGTTTACTTGTGCTGCCCAGTCACTCGGTCCTGATGAAGCTGATTTGCTGAGTGTTCGACTGAATATGTCTGTTCTGAAATTTAAAGAGTAACTTCAGAGAGGGCTGAAAAGCAGTGATTTGCTGCCCTCTCTAGTTTCAAGGCTTCTTTTTTTTCCCACAAACAGCTTCACTGATGGATGTGGGTGGGTGTGGTCACAAGTATGCTTTTTGCACTTACCTGTAACCACACAGTGATGTCACGGGGTCCTGAAGTACACCTGTGCATCGCTGCAGCACGGTGTGGAGTTACTCTTTAATTTCGATTTTTGCTTTTTTTTTTTTTGTCATGAATATTTAATTCTAGAAATAAAAGAAAAAAATCCATTCTCCGGCTGCTACAGTACAGTGCTGTGTTGCATATTTAGATGACAGCTATATGCATGTGCTGCTGAAAACAATTCTGGGCGAAATGGGGAATCACTACTGTACACTCCCGGGGATGTACTCACAACATCAGAGTGTTGAGCTTTCTCTTGGGTGTAGATTACACTTGAATCCTGTAGCACATGTATATTTACAAATTTTAAAAAACACCTCTTCTCTCCACAGAGGGCTGTCACCCTTCCCTACCGTTGCTTTTCTTCCATCATGGTGGACCTGTTCCTAAACAGAGTTCTGGTAGAGAACAACTGGGACCAGGATGAGCTCAACACAGAGCGTGAAATCACCGGGATCCTCGAAAACCGCATCCTGATGCTGTTCTTTGCATCTGCTGAGTGTGAAGAGTGCCAGGAGTTTGTGCCTGTTCTGAATGATTTTTTTAAGAGACTCAAAGATCCGGCGTACATCGAATACCCCAAACTGCTCGCGCTCATCTACATCAGGTCTCTATCTTTCCTTCTCTTTATCTCTTTGATGCAGGGTTATAATTGCATTAACTCCCATTCACACTGTTTTATCATTCATAAGATTTCCATTTCCACCTCCTCTCTGCAGCTTGGACCAATCAGAGGAGCAGCAGGAGAGAGTCCTCAAAGAGATGCACAAAAAGGTTCTCTTCCTGGCCTTTGAGGACCCATACAGGAAGTAGGTGGATGGAGGGAGAGAGTGTGTATTTAACCTTTGTGAAAGTGTGTTTTTAAAGCCGCACTGGTCTTCAGCACGCACTGACAGCAATATGAAAGTCAAATTATGACGGTTTATAACTGTTTACACATAAACTGTGTGCATTTCCATACCTGTGTGTGTTTTCCCTGTTTTTCAGGGAACTGCAGGCCATGTTTAAGGTGAAGGACGTTCCCACAGTAGTGGTCCTTCGTCCCGACGGCTCCATTCTCTCTCCAAACGCTGTGCAGGACATCTGTCGCTTTGGTTCCGACTGTTTCCACAACTGGCAGGAATCGGCAGAGCTCATTGAGAGGAGCTTCATGCTCAACGAGGAGTTCGACAACCTAAATCTGCGTAGTGCCACTGACCCCGTGAGGAGACTCAAGTACAAGACAGAGGACGACAAGAGGAAAAGGAGATGGTGGAAGTTATGGGGGAAAGGCAAGGATGGAAATGAAGGGGAGGAAGAGAGAGATGGAGCGTGGGATACAAAGAGGAAGGAGGGAGATAAAGGAACGTGGAGGAGAAGATAAAGAGAGAGGATGAAAGGAAAAAAGTTTATTTAAAAGGCAAAACCTTTTGTGTTGATCCTCTCAGCACATCTTCAGGTCCAGTCTCTTGCACTCGCTCACAGCCTCTTTAAGAATTATTTTCTCTGCCTGCAAGGACATGTTCTGACAAGAGCTCCTTTATTGTGTTGCTAGAGGTAAAGTGTAATGGCAAGTAGAAGCATAACATAACTCTGCCTCCCTGCACAGATTATACAAAATGTTGAAAGGAATGAAATAATATCGAGTTCCTTAAGAAATACGCTACTATTGCTGTTTGAATTACTACATGTTGTATTCTTCCTATTCTGATTATTATTAATATATCTAAAATATGATATGAAAGTCTAGTGTTATCACTTCACCAACTAATTGCTGAAGTTAACTAAGAATAACTAAGAAAAGTTTTCAGTCATAAGAGCAAATGTCACAGCATGTCTATATAGATAATACATATAAAACACACATGTACATGTACAGTACATGTCCCAGATCATTTAAGTTGATATAGGCACTGAGCCCCACAAATAAATATTTGTGTATTAACAGTGGGCCAAATAAATACTTGTCAAGAGAAAGGGATCACATACACTGACCAACTGTACAGCTCTACAGACTTTTTTTTGTTGTTGTTGTTGCCTCTTTTAGCTCCTTGTTTTGGTTTTCTGGCCAGGTAATTCAAATCATATCAAGTCCATTTCCAGCAGCATCAGGCAGCTGTTAGAAAATAAAAACAAACAACAAAAACAAATGGATGGCAGTGAATGTATTTCCATGTCTGCTGGATATGTAAACAGGGAACTGTTTGATAACACTTGTGCTTGTCAGCATTTCCTGTTTTAGCATGTTTATGCCCCCAAGTGGGACAAAAAAAAGTAATTGCAGCTGTAAACTAAATTTAGGCGCTGGCGCCTGCTGGTGTTTAATACAGTGTCAAGCATTGTGTATATGTTATTTATTTTTAGCATTATTTTTAAATTCTTTGTCAATTATGGCATCTGTCCTGAGATTTTTATTTTATTATCAAATAGTTATGTATAAGTTGTACTGATCTCCAAAAAACCCAAAAAGAACCCCCAATAAACTCTCTATCCTGCTAACACAAACTGTGTCTAAATTTCACTGACGTGGCTTCACGGCCACACTGTGCTGTTCCCTGCAGAGCGAATCAGACTATCACTAACCAGATACTCCCTGTAGGTCTGCACCTCCATTAGCTACTGAATAATAAAGGTCTCACTGTGGCTCACTTCATTATGGTCTTTTTATTAAGCACGTCTCTCATTCTGTAATTTCTATGGCTTCCATTCACACATACATGCTCGCTCAGACACTGCCTTCATACATGCACAATGACTGTGAGCACTTCATGTCCCTTGTCCCTCTGTCACCTTGTCTTTCAATCCCTCCCTCCCAGACTGAAGAGGGGAGGTGGAGCACAGAGACACAAAGGAAGAGGGAGCGAACAGCTACTGGCATCAAGGTGAAGGAGACACAGTCAATGAGTGAATGTGACACAAACTGACAGGCTGGGAACTGATTCAAGCACGACCCAGGACGAGTTGAAAAGAACAACAGAACTAGATCTTGAAGGCTGCTCTCTTTTTGGATTTGCTGCCTCAAGGCGAGATAATATTTGTTAGAGGTAAGCAACTATTAGGATTATCCGACTGAACAGCAAGCAAGATTATATATGATTAATAGATTGGCGTGTAAGTATGACTGGGTGGAAACATGCAGTCTAGTATACAGGGCATCGTCAAATCATACAGTATGCAAGATCTTCTTTTTTTTTTTTGCTAATGTCAAGACTTTCTCAAATATCATTGCGAGTTATTCTAGCTGTCTTCATGTTTGGCACTGACACAGGTGTGAAAACTTTTATATATCCTTTCACTACATGCTACTCTATGATTTCCCTGTTAAACCAATGAAAAGAAACAATTCTTTTAACCTCTCCCTGTAGCTTCCTATAGCATCAGTCCTCATCCCTGTGACCCTTCATCATGGTGGACCTGTTCAGTGATCGGGTCCTGGTGAAGAACAACAAGGACCAGGATGAGCTGGACACAGAGCGTGAGATTGTGATGCGCCTGCAGAACCGCATCCTGATGCTCTTCTTTGCATCTGCTGCCTGTGAAAGCTGCCAGCAGTTTGCTCCCGCACTCACCGACTTCTTCAAACGGTTGACAGATGAATTCTATGTGGATCGCTCTGCTCAGTTGGTTCTCCTGTACATTAGGTACAACACCCACGCACACACACGCACACACACACACACACACAGAAACACACATAAAGGTGTATATTACTGTACTATACTTGTACATTTATTCCCAAACCCTGAATGCTAATCTTAAACATGTCAACTTCATGCTTAACACACCCATTACCCCTAACTTAATCTAAAATTAAATCCTTGTGTGTGTGTGTGTGTGTGTGTGTGTGTACAGTTACGTGTGCATGAGATGTCATGTGTATATACTAGGTGTGTGTGTGTGATCTTAATCTTAAACCTGTTATAGTCTCAAATGATAAGGACTGGCAATGTATCCTCAGATGTGAAGTCTTTCATCACATCTATCCTTTTCAGTCACGCCTTCTATCTCAGTCAGAACCAAGCGTCCTCAGAAGAGCAGTACAAACACACACAAATTGGCATTTGGATAGTGTAAAATTGTAAAATGTACCAAATCGGTCCATCCATATCTCCCGGCAAAGTGATTTTTCTTTCATCCATCAGTTTGGACGAGTCAGAGGAACAACAAGAAAGCTTCCTCAAAGAGCTGCCCAAGAAGTGCCTGTTCCTGGCCTATGAGGACCCCTACAGGAGGTGTGTGAGACTGGCCAGTAAAATGTGTGCACAACCTGCTGGTGGATGATAGTAATGTAAATATACCTAGCTGTAAAAAATCTATTAGCTCTATGCCAATGTGTGTGTGTGTCCACAGGGAGCTGGAGGCCATGTTTAATGTGGAGGAGCTGCCCACAGTGGTGGTGCTGCGTCCTGACTGCTCCATCCTAACCCCTAATGCAGTGGAGGAGATACTCTGCCTCGGCCCAGACTGCTACCGCAACTGGCAGGAAGCGGCGGAGCTCATCGACAGGAACTTCATGATCAACGAGGACTTTGAGGAGAAGTCCATGCGCAGCTTCAGTGACCCCGTGAGAAGACTCAAGTACAAGGTGGAAGATGAGAGGAGGAAGAAGAAGAAGAAAAAGCGCAGAGGGTGGGGTGAGGGTGGAGATGCGGAGGTGGACGGAGGAGCGGATGGAAAAGAAGAGGGAGGAGGTGGGTCATGGTGATGGAGACCAAGAACAAGAGGACAAGACTGTGAATTCCCCCAAAAGTTGCCATGATTAGTGATTAAAAGCTTCGCCACAGCGTTTCTACCGCCGCTGCCCACGTTGCACCGTTTTGCTTTGCCAGACGAAACCCTCTCCACAAACACAGGCGGTTCTCATCCTATTCATGGAGTAGAAATGTCAAACTGATGTTATTGTGATGGGCTTTGCTTTTCTGTATCAGTGCTAAGCAGTGACTGTGGACTAACTGCAAACACAGCTCCTGTATGGGTGGGTGTGGATATGCCAACAACCACTAAAAAGTAATGTAAAACACTATCTAAAGGAACAATGAATGCTGCTAACCAGTGCTGACCCCAGTTTTGAATTGGCTGTCTTTAACACTTCTGAACGCTGCCAAGTATACAGTCAAGCCAAGGTTAGGTCTGAGCCAAGCCTTACCATTATGGCTTGCTTTATTACACCCTGGAGATTATTCCAACCATTTCTCCATTTTCAACGACACAGCTCTGTAATGCAGTTTTTCTTCTTCTTCTTCTTTTTTTTTTTTACACTATCATTTGTACCATCCAATCAAAACATGCCATGCATAATCTGAAATCAATGAATTATTCAGCACCATTAAAATAATTTTGTTAGTGACTGTTGTGCTTTGAGTGTTTATGAAGTCTAGCTGTGCTTTACAGACTACACAAGAAGCAATCAGAGCCATTCAAAGGGAGTCAAGTGAAATGATGGAGAAACTGGCTTTTCTACATAATCAGTGGTTTCCTGTGACTGTGACTCATCGTGTTTCATGCTGAAGACTGTGTTTAGCCTTTGCGCACTTCCTCGCACATGTAAACTGTATAGATGATGCTTTTATGCGATCAGTCAGGATCTTCATTTGCAACAGTTCCTGATCTCTCCCTGACTATAGTGGAAGATGGGAGTTTTTTTTCCTTCTCTCCTCTGAGTTACCTGGGCCTTAAAAGCATGTGCTGCCTTTACTCCTACAAAATGCAAACATGGTACTTCTTTGCACTGTGGTAATGATAGTAACGGCAGGACCAGATGGGGTAAAAAAAAAAAAAAAAAATTGCATCTGCAGCCAGATGATGAAACCAGTGTGTCATCATGGTGTGACTGGTTGATTGGTAGGTTTGGTGTGGGCTTTGTAAATGACAGTGACATGATGATGTATGTCAAAGCATCCAGTGTTACAGACAGACTGACAAATAGGCCACATTTTCTGTCAGAGCTGCTGCAAACTAAGCTCTTCCGTAGGTTAATGGACATAATGCAAATGCCTGCTGGATGTGCACTGTGCTGCACAGGCAAACACACCAATTCACCCGTTCTCATCCTCTTGTCATAGAAGTGTTAAACCTGAACCCCGAGCCGGTCAAATGTGCAAAAAAGACACAGAGGCTTAAGTAAACACGAGCCGCTGTTTATTCCCTTCCCCATCCCTTTTGCCTACACAGCACCTTATTGTTGCTCACTCAGACAAACCTTGATAATATAGTCGAAGTCCCCCCCCCCCCCTATACCCCCCCCTCTCTCCCTGCCTCTCTCTCTCTGTCTTTGCACGCGTACACACAAATACACACACGTGCACACACAAAGGCACACACGCTTTGCGCGCTCTCGAGTGCAGAACGCGCAACAAGCGGACCAGCGGATGGAGAGAGAGAGAGAGAGAGAGAGAGAGCGCCAGGAGAAGAGGAAGAAGAGAGAAGGACGGATGCAAGGCGAGGCCAGGAGCGGGAAACCTTATCTCTCCTGGCTGTCCAGCTGTTGTCTTTTTGTTTTGTTTTTTACCTCAGCGCCATCTCATAAAAACGATTCCTGCCTTTTTTTTTCCTTTTTCTTTTTTTTTTTAAAAGCCCGACATATCCCCATATCCGTCCTGATGTGCTGCTGCGCCTCATCACGATTCTTCAAGGATATGCAAAGCGGCTGTTGTCACGTCGACGTTATTTTCCATTAAATGCAAGGATGTAATTGAACGATATCGGAAGCATATGATCAACAATGACAAGTGAGCTCGATGAGCTGTAGAAATCGACGAAGGGACGCAGAGAGAGCCACGGTCTGTGCGTTAATTTGCGCCTAATTATTGTTTTCGTATGTGATCGTGTACCCCCCCTCCATCCTCCCCTATCCCGCTTCATCCATCGGAGCTATAAGGCCTATAGCCCGCATCATCTCTGGGCATGAAACCCGTGGGAATTATGATACCAACGTGACGCACAGTCACACAGCACAGCGGGGAAGACAACGCGCCTCGACAGGACGGAGGGAGGGTGTGAGGTCCAGCAGAGCAGAGCCCTACACAGTACGCTGATCACAGGAGGAGGACGCCCAGTTGTTGTCGGACATATCGCGCTAATGACTGCCGTATAGCCCCGCAGGTATCGCCCATCACCGTTTCCCTACTGAATATTTATTTATTTTTATTTTACTCATTTTTATTTTTTATTTTTTTTCATGTATCGGGCAGAGCGGAGCGGGAGAAAGGGGGGAGAGTACAGTGGGTGAGGGCGCGGAGAGACGGAATGCGGGAGACGCAGTGAGCGAGGAGGAGGAGGAGGAGGAGGGAAATCGGAGAATTGACGGTAAGATATGGATATAGGCTATGAGGATGCACCCCGCCCCTCCTCTCTCTCACCCCCCCCCCCCTCTCTCTTTACACGCACACGCGCACATACATGATCAATGCCTGGGAAGACAGCGGAGGTGCCCCGCTCCTTTGCTGCTGCTGTTGCTGTCAAGGGCCATTTGATGACTGAGGGACAGGGATCTGATGTGCTGCTGTGCTGGGCCGCACACTGCTGGCTGCCTTTAAAGCTGGGTCAGTGGTGTAGGAGTGTGAGGCATGAGTGCTGTGAAATATTCATGGGCACGTGATTAGCCTCCTCTGGGCGTCTGAGGAGTGCAGGGAGAGAGTGGCACAAATGACTCAGGGTGTCCCACGCTGGCCCACTAGAGAGGTCTGTCACCAGTGGGCTGAATTATGTACATCATCACACACCTTCATTGCAGTGTCTGTGGTGTGTGCTGCAGTGAAAAGTGTTGTAAACACGCACACTTAAGGGCTGTAAATGCAGGGTTTGGTTTGAATGGTTGCAAGGCGTGCTTTGCCGTTTGACCCCAGATGGGAACATGAGGAGAAAAGAGACAGAGAGGAAGACAGCACAGACCGAGTGAGAGTCCATTATCAATATTTCAGAGAGGGGAAGAGAGGACTGGGTCAGTGGAGGAGGCCAGGGAGGGAGGCGGGAGTGACCGTGAAGGGGAGAGACAGAGAGAGAGAAAGATGCGAAAGGCGAAAGGAGATGAAGAAAAGAGGAGAAGGATGAGGAGAAAGAGGGACGAGAATGGAAAGAAATAGCTGGATGGCTGACAGGACTCCTACTCTTCTGTCAGGCTGAATTTCTTAGTGCGGAGATCTTGTTTGCGTTGTATTATTTCATTTGTGTGATAATAGATTTTGTGTATGAGAGATGAAAATGATGACTGATTTGAACTGATTTACACGCAGAAATGTCTGTGACCACACATTTTAATACGGTGACTCACCTAGTTGTGTGTGTGTGTGTGTGTGTGTGTAGCTGCATTGTGCACATTAGATGAAAAGGAGAAAACAAACTCAACAAGGTTTGCTTCTATGTAGGGATCATCAACCACTGAGGAGAAACTGATTTGTTTAAACCACACTCACTCACACACTCGCTCACACACTCGCTCACACACACACACCCCCACACACACAATTTGGATGGATTTTCTATCATTTGACTTGTAAAACGCAACATATTTATCCCTTTTTCTCTGGACCACTTCAAACAGGTTCCTATCATGTCTCCTTGCATCAGTCAGACAGGCTGAGTCAGTCGGCTTGCGGCTCAGAGCAGGGGGCGGATATAACAGTGTAATATCAATATCATGACATGGGACTGGATTTTACATATTAATGTAGCTAATGATTACTTTCCTGGTCAATCAATTTGTCAATGATTCTCACAATTAACAGATGAATTGTTTCTTTGAAATGATCCTACAGTGTTGTGATGTCGGTCGTTTTGTTTTGGCCAACAATTAAAACCTTGATCAAACGTAACAAAAAAAAAAAAAAAAAATCATACATGACAAATTAAAGCAGCAAATCGTCACATCTGGCACACTGGCATTTTTTTTTGTGGCATTAGTTATCAGAGTAGTTGTGCATTTAATTGTCAGTTGACTAATTGCTGTAATTATGCTGTATACCTTATAGCTGTGTTCTCCTGGGACTGATGGTAGCATTACAGCTCACTGATTGTGGACAGAGATAGACAGTGATCGCCTGTTTGGTTGTCATATCCATATTATCATTTTTTTTCTTGTGTGTAAATGTCTCTAAATGCACAAATAATCTTTTTTTCTTTTTTTTTTTTTACAGATAGCTATTTGTTTAAATATATTGTTGTATTTGATTATGCTCATACTGTGTGGCCAGTGTTCATACAATTTTCCATCATGCATATGTATTTTTTTATTTTTTTATGATAAATTATAGAGTAAATTGATGAATGAAACCTTAAAATCCAGGAATCGTGGTATAAAACTAACAGAGACGCTCAATAGAGTAAGCAGACCTTCTTTCTGGCAAAATCTCTTGACAGGAGACAAATATTGCTCAAACCTGATGTCCAGCTCTCGCCTGTTCTGCCTTCTTCTCGCAAACAAAAGCTACTGGATGCACTCGGCTCTGCTCCGTCACACCTCAGTCAATGATTGTAGAAGAAGCTGAAGCAGTTTGTGTAGCCATGACATTTTGTCACGCCTCAAGATCACAGTCCTGTTCTTTGTCCAGGGAGTTTGTCTGGGTGACATGTTGAATAGGAACAGGTTATGCTGACACATAAATCATATTTAGCACCAAAGGGCACCAAGAGACAACAGACAGCACATGTCTCCTCAGTAATTTGATCACAATATCGTATGTGTTGCGCATAACTG